GGGGAGAAAGAAGGGACCCAACCACTAGGGAAGGTTCCAGACAAGCTTAGCACGGACAACGTTAGGGGAAGGCTTCATGGTAAGGCCAATCAGCCTGGAACAAACATCATCATAGATGGTCTTGACTATCATGTCAAAAGATCTTCTCTTATTCTTAAAGATGCGATTGTTCCTTTATTTCCAGAGGTGGTAGACGGTTCCAGCAAGAACTAAACGTCAAATGATAAACCAAATGGTCTTGCCTTTGGTGGCTTGCTAGAACATTCTGATAATATCAACCCAATTATCTGGGATAACGGGGAGGTTCAGCTTGGGCTTTAGGCCATTCCAAACCTGATTAGAGAACGGACACTCAAAGAATAGATATTGATGAGAAGCAGGGCCATTAAGACAGAACGCACAAGACGTGTTAGAATAGGCCTCCTAGAACCGAAGTTTATCATGCATTTTCAGATGCTGCTTGACGGCAACCCAAAGAACGAAATCATGTCTGGGATGTTTTGAGAGAACCAGACCATGTGATGCCAACCGACATCCGGTTCATTGGGTATGTAGAGCTAGATCTCACGAACATAGAAAGAAGTAAGACGACCATCCGTTTTCTCCAGAGGAGTTTATCAGGGACAGAGGGGGAAAGGACATGAGGAGAAGAATTACGAATAAGGGGATTGGGACTGTCCCGTAGGTGGGGGCAAGTCCAGCTACCCTGACAGATAATGTCCTTAACGCAGGAATTGAGGGAGAGGTTAACGCTGAGGATATTGCGAGGAGAGATTTGTCGGCAGAGGGGGCCAGTTATCAAACTAGGCAGACGTGGAAACGCCATCACCAATCTAGGAGACAATGAAGTCTCTTATCTTATCTCGCATATCCAGAAAAATTATAAGCTTTTTGGTTCTTATATAGTGTTTGGAAGCATTCTTGAGTAAATATATGGAGAGAACTATAACAAATGGAAAGAGAATCTGCATAAAAACCATCCATCATGACCTATGCGGTCCGCCTAAGTCCTTGCTTGTATCTGCCCCTATCGCTTACCATTGCGAATCAATGCATCAAATGCAAAATAATTCTATGAGACATGTGGTAAGCGATCCTACGTTGTATAGGAACTAGGTCAATAGACAAGTCTAGAACCATACAACCCTATCTGATGCAATGTACAAGTCTTTGTTATGGGTTACGTATTTTGGAGTCATAGTTGTATTGCAAAATAATTCATCATGACTTCTAAACCATTTTTTCTAACAAGCTTCGTGTGTCACCTTTTCAACACTTGGCCATCATGAACGATAGTCTTAATGTGAACATAGAACATAAATTTCTCAACCAGCAAACTTTATAGGTAAAATGGCACAAAGGGGAAAGATAAAGGTGGTACTTGCAATTCGCCAGCAATAGTGGTGTCTCTTTCTTCTAGCCGCCTTATATGTTTCCTATACATGATAAACATGGAGAATTATTGGTGTGATCTACCTACAAAGAATTGAGCTACAGATAAAACGTAGATAAGTTAAAAAGAACCATATATATATATATATATATATATATGAACTTGTATATCTATATCGATATAATATTAATGGCAGACAGAAAGATAGGCAATATTAAACACACGAGTTAGGGAAGAAAATGAGAAGGGATTAAATGGGAAATTAAGTGACAGAGAGTTGGATCAAGATTTAAGAGGTCCTTTTCAAATTGGAGTATAGTAATAGTAATAGTATTATTGTATTATTCTAATTAATAACAATAATAATTAATAACAAGTGACCCCCTCCCTCTTCCTTCCTTTTGGGTTTGGATTTATCCTCACATCTTCTTGCACGTCCTCTATAAAATATCCAATTACCCATCTGTCCACATTTGGGACCCATATATTTAATTTCGACCACCACCATTCTTTCATCACCTTCCTCCATTTTCCTTCCTCCGATTTCCTTCCTTTCTCTCTCTCTCTCTCTCTCTCTCTCTCTCTCTCTCTCTCTCTCACACACACACACACACACACTTAACTTCTTTTATTGATCCTTCATCGTCATAATCATCTTGCTACTAGCTAGCTATTACTTGTACATATGCAGGTGCAAACAAATCAAAAGATCAGAGACTATTCAACAAAGCTTTGTGGAAACTATTATATATTGAGTCATGGCACATGGATTTACTTCGCTGATGGTAGATCAAGAAGACCATGAAAACTCGCCGGAAAATAGCGAAGATTCGCCATCTTCTGGCATGTTTAACGACACCAAGACCACTTCCACTTCATCCCCTAAAAGAAGGTTAGTCGATCGATTTTGCCATCAAACACACACCAACACAACCAATATATATATAGTCTGATACAAATTCAAGAAAATTGAGTTCATATTTATTTTTTTATTAATTGGGATTTGTTACAGTAGACGTTCGATACAAAAAAGAGTGGTCTCAGTGCCAATAAGAGAAATTGAAGGATCTCGGCTTAAGGGTGAGACAAATGCTCCCCCATCTGATTCTTGGGCTTGGAGAAAGTATGGCCAGAAACCCATCAAAGGATCACCTTACCCTCGGTATATATACATATATTTACACTCCAAAATTTATTTTTGTTTGTGTTTTGTTCATAACAAGTTCACAGTAGAATTTTGCACATAAACATATATGATTAGTAAAGGTTATGGAGTTCTTAAATTATACATATATAATCATACAATTAAAGGTGTATCTTTTCTAATATAAACGTAATTGAAAAGCCATGTTACAGATAGAAAAACTTTATGTATACTTTTGATTTAAAATCATAGTAATTAATATTAATGTTTGGAATTGTATTTTCAACCAATTCAGCTGTATGTTTTCTGTCTTTTAAATATTACATTGTGTCTTTTCAAGGCTTCAAAGAAATATTGCTGCTTAGATGACATCAATTCCCGGATTACAACGTTGGTTAACAATTTTTATTATGTTTTTAATGGATAAGTTACAAATACTTACAACTCTTATCGTGTTTTTTAATAAATAAATTACGTATAAGATTGAATATATATAATCATATGATGTTTACAAGACGCTAATGGCAAGACAAAATGGGGATAAAGAAAGTAATAAGCCTTCAATTATTGGTTTTTTTAATTTGGCAGGGGCTATTATAGATGTAGTAGTTCGAAAGGATGTCCAGCAAGAAAACAAGTAGAAAGGAGCCGAGCGGACCCTACTATGGTAATGGTGACGTACTCATGCGATCACAACCACCCTTGGCCGGCTTCTAGAAACAACAATCACCACCATAACTCCACCGTATCACCACCACCAGCCTCCACAGCCACGATCACGGAAGAAGCACCAGTTTCCAACACCGATGATATAGATCAAGAGGAAGATCAAGATCCCCCACATGACTTAAGCAAGCCATCTACCGCGGAACCCGATGAAAAGTTCACGAGTCTTGAGGTGGGGCCAGGTGCATCTTTTATAACTACCACCGATGGATTCGGTTGGTTTTCTGATTTGGAATCCACGTCGTCAACAATGCTAGAAAGCCCATTAATGATGGCTGGAGACATGGTTGGAGATGCTGACATGGCAATGATATTCTCAATTAGAGAAGAAGACGAGTCTTTATTTGCCGATCTTGGTGAGTTGCCGGAATGCACGACGGTTTTCCGGCGAAGGGAAGTAATAAACGAGGAGGAGCACCACCGGAGGCCGTGCAAGTTGGCCCCATGGTGTGGGACAAAAGGGTGAGTAGAACTCCAAGGATTTGCATTTGGGTATAAAGAAACAATTTAAAAATCTTGATTTTTTCCTCTTTTAATCTTTAGATATATATTCCTTGGTTTCCGTGTCATAACGAATAAAAGCTGGAGAGAAAATGTTTCAATTGGAGAGATATTTGTCTTGATGTTGGTGTTATTATTAAGAAGCATTTATATTTGGCCATCGTTTCTAACGTCATTTCGCTTTAACTACAAACCAAGGGATATCTATTGCCCATTCTTTCTTGTATTTTGTTGCCAATGGCCCAATGCCATGTCATGTGTGTGTGAGGGATACTTTCTCAGTTTTCAACCAGAAACGATTGTTTTAGATCAAAGTATCTGGATGTCTCAGATTCAAATCTAAAGAGAAATAAAAATCTTCTTGTGGTCAAATGCGGTGACTTCGGGCTACTTATAAAGCAGATGGTCGTTGGGGATTAGTCGGCTCGCATAGCAGGCTGGATATCCAGATTAATAAAAAAAAGATTTTTTTGTTGCTTAAAATTCTCTTTTTAGTTGGTAATATTTCATCAACTTTTCAAAAACATCAAGCACCTGGTAATATGATTGATAAAAATAGGGTTTTTTTTTTAATAAATTATGTAAGATTGGTGCTAATTAATAACTCTAATTAAGCTATTGAGGGATTCACGCTTCATTCTTCGTGGCATTTTCAACCTCGGAAGGCTTACTAAAGAGTTATGATAAAGTGGACGAGAAACTTGAAACACTTTGTTACATTCGTCGAGACAAAAACTATTCTTCGTTACACCATGTAAGGAACTAAACCAAATATTGTTACATTTTGATGCATTTTATTCGTTTCTACATGGATTAATTAATGAGGCTATTAATAATATTCCCACTAAGCAAATCCAACATCAAATATATAACAAAAGCAATCATCATATGGAAATAAAGCAAAATAACACACCCTATAATTGATATGGTGCTTACAAGTTAAAATTACTAAGATTATATATAGTTTCAATTAGTGGTGAAAAAAATTGAAGAAAGCTAAGTTTTTTCAAGAGGATACTAACATATATAAGTGCCTTTATTTGAAAATATAACATGCCAAACATGCACTTGCGACATATTGTCGTAGCATCAAGTCACCTAGTTCCTTAAATTGAGCTTTTGCGTACTAACTAGGTTGCCGCTTCAGCATTGAGTCGTTTTTTTATGTACCATAGCCTCCCCAAATTTCGACAAACTACACCCGTGACGCCAACTGATCGAGTTGGCCACATAGCATGATGAATTTAATATGTTTTATACAAATGAATGCAAGGATAGCTATGCAGTTCAATCTAAGATTTGATCTCTTTCCAAGTTCATTGTGTGTCTAGTATCTGAAGAGTGTGGGTGTAATGGGATCACTTGAGAGATTCAGACTAGTCTGTGTTGTTATAGTAAATAAAATTCTTTTTTGGTGCCCATGATTTCTCTTCGATTTATAAGTTTCCTTATTAAGTTCTTGTGTTGGATTTTCTCTGATATATATATTTGAGACAATTATCACAATGCAATATCAATTCTTTATTATCCCTTTTTTATTGACTCAGTATTTTCCTACAATATAGAACTGTAGGGACTCATGTGGCTAAATATCATTTTCTTCTTCATTGACTGAAAATATAAAATCAATCTCCCATTAATTGTATATCGTTTGAAACAAGTTGCATTATCCATGGATTTTCTTTCAAATTAATAAATGAAGGTCGAGAATAATATATGGAGATTAATTGGTAAATAAAATAAAAGGTCATTGTTTGTTTACATAAGCATTAACACTTAAACTATGGTATATCATCATTTCAAATGATGGAGATTATTTAGTTTATTATTGTTAATTAGACACTAAGTTGAGATTGCTAACTTTTTATGTAAATATATACAAATGAGAAAAATAGGAAAGTTTTGAGATTATTTTATATAAATTTTAATTTAGTGCTTTTGACGCGGTAGGAAACGTGGAAAGTATCTACAAGCGTCTATCTTCCAGCTTTTGATGTTGGGTGTTTGGCTTCTTTTGAGTTTGTTTTCTTCTTTTCCAATGATTTGGAAAAAAAACCATGTTAGCTCTCTGATCTGTCCTACATCAAACGCCCTCACTTGAAAAGAACTCGACCTCATCAAGTTCACTTGAAACACACCTTCACCCGACTCCTTCAGGTTTTGATGCCACACCAAGTCATTCTCATATAAAATTCTTTTCTTCAAAACATTTGGATCCACAACTCTGACTTTCAAAAATCTAAAAGGTTTCAAGTTCCAAAGGATATTGTAATGGTCGCTCCTATACAAGCGATATTGTATAAGTTCGAAATGGTTGGAGGCTACAAAGTATTCATTGGAAACTACTTATTGGAGTCTTAGGTGCTGAAATAATGAAAGTATCATCTTTAGGATCACTCTTATTGATTTCTTGTGAAAAAGGATTTGGTGGCTCGAGAATATCTACTCTTGGCTTGCTTTCGGTTTCTTTGACCATTAGTTCAAAACCTGCTGCCAATTCTTTGGGATTCGTATAAATTTATTGTTGTGATTATGTTACGACGAGGATGACTTTATCTTCAAGCTTGTCGGACAAGTGTTTGTCTTATACTCATAATTTTTCAAGAAGAGGTGGTTGTTTGATTTGATAAAAACCTGAACTGATGACCTGATTATGGTTTCCGCCATGCAGAACCCTAACCAGTTCTTCATGCCTATCTCTTCTTTGTCTTTCTCTGGCGGTCGCCGTTGTCAAGGTTCGGTTGGATTCTGTCAACAATCGTCGTTAGAGTAGTAAGACTTGTGGTAATTGACCCAGTCATCTCTGCTATACTTGCTTTCGTAGCAGGTTGTTGATCTGCCATTGTAAATAAAAGCAACTGACGTAGTAGGAAATGCGGAAATGATCGACAAACATGTAAATACTAAATGATATATATGAGTTTATAAGCGTAAAACTCATAAAATATAAGAGAACTCTCAAAAGACTTTTATTAATCAATCACAAAACTGAGTACTAATGAAAACAATGCACCTTATTTATAGGCTAAACTATCCTGCATAATCTACGGAAATTAAATGTTAAACCTAAACCAACTACAAAATGATTTAAATAACAATTTAAAAATAATAATAATCCTAAATTAATTAGGAACACTTAATAATTTAATCAGGATTAGATAAAAATAAATTAAATTAAGGAAAATATTGTTGAAATATCCATCCAGATAGGCATAGGTGACAAATAAATATCGCCTCTCCAAAAAATTCACGTCTCATTCCTCTTTTACCAATAAAATTAAGATACATCAGATTTTTATAGATTTAATCCAAATTCACATTCTCTCTCTAATGATGTGTGTGTATCCATGGGATTATTGGACATGAATGAGACATAAGGATTTAGGACAGGAGATTTTTATATGCAGGTGACTAGGTGTGCGATCGGTCTGTCGCGTCAAGGACTGTTCCAACCTTCGATATGGATTGTGTGACGACATAGTTGGTTTCTTACGAGATCGTTTATGATTCTACCATTGATTTTTGACAGAATCCGTTCACTCTAGGATATGTTCTACATTAGGCACCCTCACTTGAAAAGAAACTCGACCTCAAGTCTACATAAAAATAGTTTCATCTATTTTCTTGGGACTTATACGTTTGGTATGTAGCTTTAGGAGATTTGTATATACCACGAAATCAACTAGTTGCCTATCGTTTTGATGGGGTGGAAACGTATTGGAAATATCTTTTGTATGCCCCTTTGAACTTTTGTAGCAGTGGTTTATTTTAAATCGAGCTCTCGGGTGATGGGGTATTGGAAGTACCTTTGTAATCGCCTTTCTTGAAGTTCAAGATTTATTTAAGGCTTAGTGGACTCTATGTCTTAGTGAGTGGAAATCATCGGGGGATAGGATAGTTGTAAATAGGCCCAGGGCTATGGAAAAAAGGAGTATCTTGGACCTACACCGAGGTGTTGACGTCCTCCGATTAATAGATAACTTTTTGCTACTAAAGGAAAATTGCTTCTCATCCCAGTATAGTGTGGAGGTCAATTTGTCACCTCTGAACCAACCAAATACAGTGAAGCAATACGTACCTATAATAATTGACTAAATTAAATATAGATGTACCATTGCGGTACATAATATGTAGATCTTTATGATATCCTAACTAATACTACTATTGTCTGAACACGTAATCCTTCATGTGTACCAAAAGATTTTCATGCATAACTTACTATTTTAACATATTGAAACATTAAGCACGTTTGAACCTTTTATAATGCATAACATGCATATTTTATATATGAAATATTGAATCAAGTATGTATGTATCCTAAATTAAAATCACATGAAACTAAAAATATGATTCATGTAGGTCTAACTGCTTTTGCTATACCACCCGCACAAGTCATGTGTGTTTATAATCACTTATATATTCTGGTTATGAAATACTCATACTAACTCCGCAAACAACACTAGGGGGTGCTAAAACATGTTAAAAAGGTCATGCGACCGTGTATAGATCTTGCACGTAGAGGTAATCCTACATGGTGCTACCAATCATCTATATGGCCATACCGAATTACAAAAGCATTATGCACGGTCGTGCCAATTATGCAGAGCCTTTTCTAGGCTTTTTGTTATGACTGTGTCATGCGGTTCTTCTCAACTACTTTGACTCAACATCAAATAAATCTCCTTTTTTGCTTAGGGGCACTAATAATATGTGCTTTAATAACCAATAGTATATAGTAATACTCAATACCAACACACATTATACTAACATTAATTATTGGGGAATAAACCCATAGATCTTGTTACTCGAACTAAAACATCCATATTTCATCGAACCGATTTCCTTAAGGCTTCATCCTTACATCTCATTTATCTAATGATTCATCCTAATACAACATATGTTTTGAACTCAACATTAACTACAAGATTTTGGGTTGAGCTTTTACCTTAAATCGTTGAATTATGATGCTATAACCCATTTCAATGCATGCAAGAACACTGCAATCTCTTGTATTTCCTTTATGAATGTGTTATTCCTAAGACATGTACCATATGACGATTAAATTCTAATAATGTGATAACTACGATATAATTGTGTTTTCCTAACTATTGTGGCTCCTAGTAGTCACTTCTCTTGACAACATCGTTCACTATGTAAAACAAATAGT